ATATATATATATATACACACACACTCACAGACTATAATATATATATATATATATATATATATATACGCTAACACTAGCTGCCATATACAGCAATATGGGTTGTGCACATTTACAGCGATAAATGATGTATAATATCGTCGTCAACATGCTTGAATATGCATGCAAATGAGTTCTTCACACAGCATGAGGGATCTTGTGCATGCAGTAGAGGCGAAAAAAGTGCAATTTATAGAGTTGCATGTGGAGTAACATATGCACATATAAACTGTCAAATCCTTCATGTGGATTGTGTGCGAACGCCAACGGGGCCATACACACATCCGCATTTACACGTACCTGTATGTATCAACATATCAGCAAGTACACATATATGTGTGCCCACGTACATACGTACCCATATGCCCCGATATATATACATGTATATAAATCGCATGCGTTTGCTATGGTGTATGGATCACACTATATAAATAACCCTCTCAACCGACATCTACCCTAGAAAGGGATCGGGCGTTTGGTTCAACTAAAATAGATTATATAAAATGAAATATTGTGTTTGTTGTGCTCAGATTTTGGCTTCTGAGATATCTGTGGGTTACGAGCAACCGCCTTGCATCGTGCGCAGTGTGAATGGGCGAGCAGTGCGCAGCATGAGGGATCTTGTACATGCAGTAGAGGAGACAAAGGAGCAATTCATAGAGTTGCAAGTGGAGACAAATGCAGCAGAAACGGTTCTACTTGTCATCGACAGACACAAGGCAGAATCCACAAACAATCAAATACTCAAGGAGCACAACATCGCTCAAGCTAAATCTGAGGACTTGCAACAACTATAAACACAACAAATGCAAATATGGCATCCCATTATAAGTGCACTCAATATACTTCACATGAGTAATACACGTTTACATATATGTTTTAAGTGCTGCTACAAGAATCGTGTAACTCAGTAAAAGGTGTTAAGTGCATTCACCTATATACTCCACGTATGTAATAAACGTACACGTCTACTTTTAGTATATATACATTTGAATTATATTGTATAGAAAATAGCACACTAACGGAGGACCAAACCTAATGCTGCATAGCTTCATACGACGTACTCGACTGTCGTATTTGCCTTCCCGCGATTGCAAGTAAACATCATGCGCGTAATGTACATAATGAAATATATCATGCGCATATTGTCAGTACATTAACTATCGACACCCAACGACGTACACAAACAATGCTTGTACGGAGAGTGGGTGTATAATATATATATATATATATATATAT